AGAGAAGGTGGCCTATTTTCAGGTGCAACACCTCTATTACAAAGTATTTGTTTTAGCCAAATTGCACGATCATAATCATGGGCATTTTCCCTTTTGTTTTGGGGGTACTTACCTAGAGGACCAGAGCTGTCCCTCAATACCCCTCCCCTGCTAACAAAAACTCCAGGCCTATCTCAGGTCTCTATTGCTTTGCCCCACCTCAAAAAATAAAATAAAATAAATAAATACAAATAAAAATAATGCTAATGATTGCCAGAGCAGGATTGCCTCAGTCCTCCATTGCTTTGGTTACAAGAGTCTAGCACAGGGCATGTTAGCCACCAATAAATATGTTGGGAGCCAGCCATGGAGGCCTGCCTGCTGACAAAGTCCAGGGGGCTGAAGACTCCAGGTCACAAAGCGAATGTGGGCAGCTGAGACCCTGCTTCTACTTTTGTTATTAGTGTAGCCAAAAAGTTCTGAGGATGGAAAGCAAAATTCCACTCACACCTCCACTACCCCTTGCCTTTACTTCCCTTTGTTAAGGAGGTTTGTAATTCTGGTTAGGGATTGTGACTAAGGTGACTTGAGCCTGAGAGGCCTTTTGTTTTACAAACATTGAAGCTCTTTCTCCCTGGCAGGAAATAATTAACACAGATTGTAAACACCACATGTGAAATTAGGGAAAACTAGTCAGGCCAACTTGTGGCTAAGAAACCTTGAAAATGTTGCTTTACCCCAGCTAGTTGCAAATTGCTGTGTGAAGGTCACAGGTATGACTTGTTAATCTATGTGATAATTATAGTGCTTAGAACTTGGTAGTGATTTATAATGTAATCATTATAGGAATAAGTAAGTTTTGTATGGACATTAATAAATGGTAATCATTTTTAAGTGTTAGAAGTTGATAAAATTTATAGTTTAGGATGATAATGTTTTAAGATCAAAACAGGATGAACAAAGATACATTGCCTGTCCTGTCCATTCAATTGTAACTGATTGCCTTGGAAACAGAAAACATGTAGGGTATAAAAGGAGTTGGAAAAGACAATAAATCGGCATTTGTCCTGCTTGCAGTAGAGTCAGTGTCCAAGATTTTTCTCCTGCACCGATGCCGTCCCTCTTTCAGGAAACCCTGACCTGCTGGAGCTGGACTCCAGCATAAATGCTTCTAGACGCAGTGATGCAGGCCGAAGCTAGACATTTTGGTGTCTAGGGATAGCAGCCCCAGAGAAGCCCACAGGCCCACAAAGGTAGTGGAGCAAGGACCAAGGACCGGCCAAGAGTCTGGTCCCACAGAGCAGGTCAGCCGTCAAAGCTTCAGAGAGATGAAGGGAGAAGGGTTTTGGAGGATGCAAGACAGTGGTACTCTTTTAAAATCATTAATTTAAGTGTTTATTATATCTTCTAAATTCTGATGCTCTAGAGAAGGAGTTGGCTAACTTTGGCCTGCTTGCTGACTATTTTGGTAAATAAAGTTTTATTGGGACACAGTTATGCCCATTTTCTCATGTTGTCTATGGCCATATTCACATTGCAATGGTAGAATTAAGTAGTTGTGTGACAGAGATGTATGACCCAGAAAACCTAAAACATTTCATATCTGGCCCTTTACAGAAGTTTGCTGACCCCTGCTCAGAGGCCAATCAGGCAATCTGCTCTGGCAATCATTAACACTATTTTTATTTGTATTTATTTTATTTTATTTTTTGAGGTGGGGCCTCTCTCTGTTATAGCATGATCACAGATCACAAATCACAGATCACTGCAGCCTTGACCTTCTGGGTTCAAGCAATCCTTCTACCCCAGTCTCCCGAGTAGCTGGGACTACAGACATGCACCACTACACACAGCTTTTTTTTTTAACTTTTTGGTAGAGATGAGATTTCACTAAGTTGCCCAGGCTGGTCTCGAACTCTTGGATTCAAGCATCTGCCTGTCTTAGCCTATCAAAGATTACAGGAGTGAGCCACCGTGCCTGGCTAAAATTATTTTTAATTTATATGAATTGCATGCCTGCCCTGGTATGAGGGGGTGAGGGGCTAATAAGAACTACGAATAGGGAGGCTCAAAACCCAAACCACACTTTGGAGAAGAAAGAGCTCAAATCAATAATCTAATCTGTTACCTTAAGAACCTAGAGGTCGGGCTCGGTGGCTCAGCCTGTAATCCCAGCAATTTGGGAGGCCGAGGTGAGTGGATTGCCTGAGCCCGCAGGTTCAAGACCAGCCCAGGCAACTTGGCGAGACCTCGTCTCTACACTAAATCAAAAAATTGGCCAGGTGTGGTAGCATGTGCCTGTAGTTCTAGCTACTTGGAAGGCTGAGGCAGAAGGATCGTCGGAGCCCAGCAGGTCGAGGCTACGGTGGCCGGAAGCGTGCCACTGCCCTCCAGCCTGGGCAACAGAGTGAGAGTCCAACTCAAAAAAAAAAAAAGAAACTAGAAAAAGATGAGCAAGCTAAACCCAACACAAGCAGAAAGAAGGAAATAATGAAGATTAGGGTTGAAATAAATGAAATAGAGACCAGGGAAACAACAGAGGAGAACCAACAAAACCAAAAATTGGCTCTTTGCAGACAAATCTTTATCTAAACTGATCAAGAAAAAGAAAAAAAGACTCAAATTACTAAAATCAGAAATGAAAAGGGAGACATTACTATCAACCTTACAAAAATAAAAAGGATTTTAAGGGAACCCATAAACAATTAATATGCCAATATACTAGATAACCTATATAAAGCAGACCAAATTCCAGAAAGATACAAACTATCAAAACTGACTCAAAAAGAAATAGAAAATCAGAATATGCCTATAGAAGTGAATAAATCAAAATGGTAATAAAGAAACTTCCTACAAAGGACAACCAGGACCACATGGCTTCACTGCTAAATTCTACTAAACATTTAAAGAATTAACACCAATCCTCCACAAACTCTTCCAAAAAACAGAAGAGGAGGGAACTCCTTCCAATTCACTCTACAAGGCTAATATTACCCTGATACCAAAACCAGACAAAGACATCACAAAAAAACTACAGATCAATATTCCTCATGAAAATACAAACATAAATCCTCAACAAAATGCTAACAAACTGAATTCAGCAACATATAAGAAGGATTGCCAGACGTGGAAGCTCATGCCTGTAATCCTAGCACTTCGGGAGGCAAAGACAAGAGGACTGCCTGAGTCTAGGGGTTTGAGACCAGCCTGAATAACTTGGTAAGACCTCATCTCTACAATAAGTCAAAAAATTAGCTGGGTATAGCATGTGCCTGTAGCTCCAGTTACTTGAGAGGCTGAGGCGGAATGATCACCCGAGCCCAGCAGATCAAGGCTGTGGTAGCCGTGTGCATGTCACAGCACTCCAGCCTGGGATACAGAGTGAGAATCTGACTCAAAAAAAAAAAAGGATTATACAGTAACCACACCCTGAACATCCGGCTGGCCCCGGTCAGCTTCAGACAAAGCAGAGGCATGCCAAAGTTGCTGGCCAGGAGCACTCTAATTTTCTGACCGAGGTCCACAAGGGAAGGAGGCAAAGCAGGGGAAATGCTAGTGCAATGGCTTCTCAGGCTGTGACTGTCAGCACCTATTTGTAAACATCTTTCCTTCTAAATCAGTCCACATAAGAGAGATTTTCCATAACCCAGCTCCCTCTCTCTATCCAGGGGTGTAGTCAGTCATTATGACAGAGATGTATGACCCAGAAACCTAAAACATTTCCTATCTGGCCCTTTACAGAAGTTTGCTGACCCCTGCTCAGAGGCCAATCCAGGCAGTCTGCTCTGGCAATCATTAAAATCATTTGTATTTATTTTATTTTATTTTTTGAGGTGGGGGTCTCTCTTTGTTGTAGCGTGATCACAGATCATGTGGCACCTGCTTCTAGAGGCCAGTTTTTAGTCCACCCAAGGAGTGGGAAAATGAGGACTTTGCCTACCTTGCAGCCTCTTGGCCAAAAAATAGCAAAGAAGTAAAAAAAATCTATAGGCAAATCCCCAGGGTAATAAAGTAAACTGGCCATTTATTCCTCACCCCTCAAACAACTATAGTTAAAGATCTTTCTCCAGTTAAGCAAGTGTTTTTTAAGAGTGCACTGACAATCCGTCTGTCCTTCCTGTATCTGTTCTAGACACAAACACACCCCCGTGCACATGCACGCACACACGCACCTTTGTGCTGTTAGAGAGTCAGACATATTTATGCTGAAATTCCCTGCCCCAGTTGCCTAAAAATAGTAGAAACAAACCTGATGCTTTCTCTGAGGAGATTCTCGCACTCTTACTTGACAAATTCTTTTCTCGAAACTGTTTTTTCAACCGCCCACCACCCTTTGCACTCTCATGAAAGCCCCTTTCAATCCAAGCAATGTGCACAAAGAACTGCTTCTTCGAGTCTGTACTTTGTTTCCTGCGCATTAACTTGCCATGCCTGTGTTTTAGCTAAATAAGCCTTAGGGTTTCTCCCTGCTCACTGGTTTTCTGAGTGCCCTTGTCCATCCCGATGAAGCAGTCTCCTCATGAATATTCTCCTTCTCAGACAGAGCGTGCACACAGAGGCTTTCAGCCTCCTGTAGAGGCCACCCAAGCTATCAGATGCACTTGAGAGCTCCTGCTCATTTGAGAAGTGCCTGCTTCCAGAAAAATCCTTTGGCACAGGCAAAATGCCCCCTCTTCAGCACAGAAGTGCCTCACGGTTCAGGCTGCCACAGGGACTCCAGCCACAGTTGTGCACACCCCTCCTTAGAGCAAGAGCAAGAATGATACTGGCCAGGCTCTGCCCTCTTGTTCCAACCAGGCATCCTCGAGGCAGGAGTGGCAGAGGGAAAGAAACACTGGACAAAGGGGTCAGGGTTCAGGACTGTGGTTTGGCCCTGCCACTGAGCTCTACTTCAGAGCCCCAGCCTGCTGGTCTATGGAAAGGGGCAATGGTTCCCCCCACCCTTGCCTCTCACCAGGCCAAATGAGGAAGTGGATGAGAAGACGGCAGAGAGCCGGGCAGGGGAAGAGCGTCCTGCTCACCTGTCCAAACACGTAGAGCAGCCCGATGGTGCCTCCCGTCTGCCCGCCGAGGACTGAGGAGATCATGGAGTACACGCCGCCACTGCCCATGCCACCACGCTCCCCAACGCCAATGCCAGACAGCACGGTGATGAGGGCCACCAGGACCACGAAGGACACCAGAAACACGCCCATGAGCACTCCTGTGTTACCCTGTAGCAGGACAGCAAGGAGCAAGGTTGGGGTTAGGAGAAGGGGCCCAGTCAGACGTGGCCCTACTGGGAGCACTGTCCACCTCCCCTCGTCCCCACAGCACTGGAACCAGGGGCCGGAGGGTGAGCCACAGATGGGGGCAACTGGAAAAGGAACAAGGAAGTGCCACAAGAGGTGAGGCCCAGAAGTTCTACATGAAGGGAAGTGTCCTCACTTCAAACTCTTCCATGATTTTCCCTCACCTATAGGGTGAAATCAGAGATACCTGGTGGACTCATGAGGCAACTTCTAATCTGTCACTCTGTGCTCTAGCATGCAGTGACATGTTCTCTCTCCACTGCCTCTTACCCATGCTGATTCCCCTACCTGGAATGTCCTTCCTGCTCATTCCATGTCTTCACCAGTTTAATTCCAATGGATTCTTTAAGACTCAGGGTTGGCTGGGCGCAGTAGCTCACGCCTATAATCCCAGCACTTTGGGAGGCCAAGGGGAGAGGATTGCCTGACCCCGTGGGTTCAAGACCAGCCTGGACAACTTGGTGAGACTTCATCTCTACAATAAACCAAAAAATTAGCTGGGCATGGTGGTGCGTGCCTATAGTTCCAGCTACTTGGAAGGCTGAAAGAACACCTGAGCCCAGCAGGTCGAGGCTGCAGTGGCTGGGAGCGTGCCACTGCAGTCCAGCCTGGGTGACAGAGTGAGATGTCAACTCAAAAACAAAAAAAAAAAACTCAGGGTTTAGGATTTCCTCCTTCAGGAAGCTGGCCCTGTAACTCTTCCTCTGAGCTCCTCTACTACCCAGGGCTTAGTACCTTTTACAGTACCTTCATACTGAGTCTGCTTCCAAGTCAGTTTCTACCCCTAGGCTTTGAGCACCAAGAAAGCAGGATCATGTTTTCTTTCCCTTCATATTCTCAGGGCTTAGCACAACCTCCCATGATAGCTGCTCATTAATTGCTTGTTGGGTGAATAAACACACACACATACATGCCTGGAGACATACACTCTTAGGCAGGCACGTTTCAATGTAAAAAGCAAGAGACCCAGAGAGGACACTGACACGGCACATACCACACCACAAAGGAGAGGTGATGGCACACACATCACAGTAGCAGGGCGAGGGCAGACAAGACTCATGTTACGGCTGCTAGACACAGAACCGGGAGTGGGTAGAGCCAGCTCCAGAGCTGAGTGCCCTTAACGTGAGCTGAAAAAGTGTCCTGGAAGTCGGGGGTGCTCTGCTCCTGTCCACGAGAGGACAGTCCAGGGCTCCACGGTCCAGGAAGCAGATGATGACTGCAGGCCATCAGGGCCAAGATGGCTTTTTGCTCTAGCTGGCTCTACTCCCAGGATTCCTACCAGCCTTCTCCTATTAATTTCTGTTAATTCATATAAATGCACTCGGGAATATTTGTACTCAACTCTTCTATTAACTGTGAACTTCATATGGATCAATTTTGGGTTTCCTGCCCCCAAACAGCCCTGTTCTACTATAATATCCCCACATAGTAGGCCCATGAGAAAGAAGGCCCTTTGTTTGCTGCCCCCTCGGAGGCCACTGGGGGAGGAGGCTCTGGGGACGTGCTACCCACCTGGCCCTGGACTGGCCTGCAGTAAGACCTGGCTGGTTGGAAGCACTGACCACAGGCCACAGGTAGGCAGGGACGGAGTTGCCACAGCGAGCGGCCTTGCCCTTCATTTGTGGAGACCCATGCTTTCTCTCTCTTAGGGCTTTTTTACTTTTTTTTTTTTTTTTGGCTTGCAGTAATTGTGGGTATCTTTATTAACTATATCAAACTCCTTGGAGAACAAACAGACTATAAATAAAATATAATTTATGAGAATGGCCAGGTGTGAGTAATTTCAACACTTTGGGAGACCAAGGTAGGAGGATCACTTGAGACCAGCCTGGACAACATAGCAAGTCCTCATCTCTACAAAAAAATATATTTTTTTAATTAGGTGGGTGTTGTGGTGCATGCAAGTAGTCCCAGCTACTCAGGAGGCTGAGGCAGAAGAATCTCCTGATTCCAGGAAGTTGAGGCTACGGTAAGCCATGATTGTACTACTGTACTCCGGCCTGGGTGACAGAGTGAGATCCCGACTCAAAAAAAAAAGAATTTATGAGATATTAATGGCAACAGCAGGGTGCCACAAAATAGCTATACACAGAAGTCGTCCCAATTGCCTACATAAATCTTTGACAAAGGAAGGGGTCTCTGACTCCCTGACCTAGTGTGGAGACAAGGATGGAGGAGAGGAGTCTTCCAGGAAACACTGGCATCTAGACAGGAATGTGCATCTGCAGAGAGATGAGTCTCTCAGTCCAACCTGTATGTTGGGTCCGAGCAAACCCAATGAGTTCCTCCTCAACTGGGACTACCACGACTTAATCTCTATGCACTCAGTTTCTTCTTCTGCAAAATGGAGATAATAATAATAATAATAATAATAAGACAGGCTCGGTGGCTCAGCCTGTAATCCCGTGCCTTTGGGAGGCTGAGGTGAGTGGATTGCCTGAGCCCGCGGGTTCGAGACCCGCCTGGGCAGCGAGACCTCATCTGTACAATAAATCAAAAAATGAGCCGGGCGTGGTAGTGCACGCCTGTAATTCTGGCTACTCGGAAGGCTGAGGCGGAAGGATCACCGGAGCCCAGCAGGTCAAGGCTGCGGTGGCCGGGAGTGGCCATTGCACTCTAGTCTGGGCGACAGAGTGAGACTCCGACTCAAAAAAAAAATAATAATAATAAATAATAATAATAATATTTATCTCATAAGGTTGTCAGGAAATATTAAATTGTAGGAGGATAAAATACATTAAAGCGCTTTGAATGCTACCTGCCATATATATGTTTGATGAATCTTAGCTACCATTATTATGCAGCTACTCAAATAGTCTACCTACTCAATTTTCTCTTTAAGGGCTAGACAGGAATATAAGGATATCTGTGGGCCCTCTCTGGAAAAAGATTACCAGCAGTCATGTGGAAATGTGTACAAAACCCCAGTGACTGCCAGATGGTACACAATGCTGGCAGGATGTCTCAGTGGCGTTGGCAATGAACAATCTGATGGTGAGACTGGGGAGCCAGGAGAACTGATGGGAGCCAACCCAAGTGCCCACCAGCCTGCCCCACCCCAGCCCTCTCCCTAGCCCCAGCTTCCTGGGATAGAGATGCTGTCGGGCTCCATGAAAGTGAGCATGACAGCTGAGCACGGCTGCTACTTATTTTGCTGACGTTTTGGAGTCTCACTCTGTCGCCTAGACTGGAGTGCAGTGGCTGCTCCCGGCCACCGCAGCCTCGACCTGCTGGGCTCCGGCGATCCTTCCGCCTCAGCCTTCCAAGTAGCCGGAATTACAGGCACACGATACCACGCCCGGCTGATTTTTGATTTATTGTAGAGATGAGGTCTCGCTGCCCAGGCGGGTCTCGAACCCGTGGGCTCAGTCAATCCACTCACCTCAGCCTCCCAAAGGCGTGGGATTACAGGCTGAGTCACCGAGCCCAGCTGTCTTTTTTTTTTTTTTAGAGCCAAAGTCTCACTCTGTTGCCCAGGCTAGAGTGCAGTGGCATGCTCGTACCCGCCCACCAGCGTTGATCTGCTGGGTTCAGGCAACCCTTTTGCGTCAACCTTCCAAGTAGCCGGAACTACAGGCGCACGCTACATGTCCAGCTAATTTTTTAATTTATTGTACAGACAAGATGTCACCAAGTTGCCTGGGCTGGTCTTGAATCCCTGAGCTCAGGCAATCCTCTTGCCTTGGCCGATTTTATATTTTTAATGGAATTTCAAATTGTGGTGTCCTTCCTTTGTCCGTGTTTTTCGATTGCATGTGATAACATCCTGTACCAATCCCATCTTCAAGTTTCCATGCCAGAACTGCCACTTTGCCATTGTCTAAATTATAAGCATGCTACCAAATTATTCTTTAGAATTAATATTTTCTATTTCAAAATAATTGTGCCGGCTGAGCTCAGTGGCTCAGTCTGTAATCCCAGCACTTTGGGAGGCCAGGTGAGTGGATTGCCGAGCCTGCGGGTTTGAGACCCATGCGGGCAACTTGGCGAGACCTCGTCTCTGCAATAAATCAAAAAAAATTAGCCGGGCATGGTAGTATGAGCCTGTAGTTCCGGCTACTTGGAAGGCTGAGGCGGAAGGATCACTGGAGCCCAGCAGGTCGAGGCTGCGGTGGCTGGGAGCATGCCACTGTACTCCAGTCTGGGCGATAGAGTGAGACTCCATCTCAAAAAATAATAATAATCGTGCCATGACCTCTGCTTATTGTAATTTTATGCCTTCCCCTAGAAGCTTGATCTTATTTTTGGCATTTCACATTTGTCTTTGTTTTCATGACCAAATATGATTTTTCAGGTAAAATTAATGTCAGAGCTGAAAACCATAGATCATTTTAGGGCAAAAGGATGTCTGTGTGTGGCAGACAGCCTCGGAGATGGCCCCCTGTGATCCCTCCTAGCATTTATACCCTTGAGCAATCTCCTACCTGTGAGTTTCGGCTGGACCTAGTGACTCACTTTTCTTTAAGTATGCAAATATTTTATAAGTCATTCAAAATGATCACATTCGTTGCAATTTATTTAATAATTTTTGAAGTGCAAAATTAGACATGTGCATTCTTTCACTTTAGGCTACTTGTTTAAACCACTTTTTTTTTTAAGTTGGAGTCTCACTCGGTCGCCCAGACTGGAGTGCAGTGGCTGCTCCCGGCCACCGAGTTGGAGTCTCACTCCGTCACCCAGACTGGAGTGCAGTGGCCGCTCCCGGCCACCGCAGCCTCGACCCTCTGGGCTCCGGCGATCCTTCCGCCTCAGCCTTCCAAGTAGCTGGAACTACAGGCGCGCACTACCACGCCCGGCTAGTTTTTGATTTATTGTAGAGGTGAGGTCTTGCCAAGTTGCCCAGGCGGGTCTTGAACCCGCGGGTTCAGGCAATCCACTCACCTCAGCCGCCCAAAGCGCGGGATGACAGGCTGAGCCACCGAGCCTGGCTTAAACCATATTTTAATGACCAGAATATTGCAGAAGTGACAAGTTGTCACTTCTGAGATTAGGATTCAAAAAGACTGTGGTTTCCATCTTGGGCATTTGCTCTCTCTCATACTCTCCTAGATTGCTAGCCCCGAGGGACGTTAGCTGCCATGTATTAGGTGGCCCTATGAAGAATGCACATCACAAGAACCAAAGTAAGTCAACCATTACTTGAGTGATCTTGGAAACAGATCTGCCCTGTTGAGCCTTCATATGAGATTACAGCACCGACCGACAGTTTGACTATACCTCATGAGCCAGAGGTACCCAGCTAAGTTGTACCTGGTTCCCTGAACCACAAAAACTGTAGAAAAATACATATTTGTTGCTTTAAGCTGCTAAGTATTGGGGTAATTTATTATGCAGCAATTGGTAACTATTACCACTTGTACCTTTACTTTGGGGATGGAACTGACACTTCTGGATAGGCATTTCTCAAAAAATGATTAAAGGGCTAAGAGTCAAAACAGAAAAGAGTACCCTTCTTTTCTTCCACCTTTCCATAATCATCTGTGCATGGAGCAGTGCCTGGGGACCCCAGGCTGTCACTGATCAGGGCTTCTCTGCCACAGGGGTCAGGTTGGTGGGCCTCCCTTGGACACAGGTTGGTGAGGTGCTGGGCAGTGAGGTGGCCCCCAGGAAGTGAAGGAGCAGAGGTAGGTCCCAGAAGCCTAAGAAGGCCTGCCAGGATGAGGAGTAGTGTTGGAAGCTTTGTGTTTTTATAAGTAGGATCCCTTACAAGTTTAGTGGTGGTGGTAAGAGGCCTAAATTCGTAGTATCATGCCACAGAGGTTTCTGAACCTGATCTAAGCTTTCCATGCATTAATTTAAAAAGATTTCAGACCCACCTGACTTTGGCTAAGGCTGACCCTGAACTAAGACCTGGGTCTGGAGGAGAAGGAGCATCTCAGCCTGGCTTCTTGCAGGGGCTGAGAACTCTGTACATCCCACTACAGTAGAGTTTTAACCCCCTGGAATTTGCCCATGTAATTAATGGTTCATTTTATATGTTAATTTTACTAGACTATGGTGACCAGTTGTTTAGCCAAACAGTAGTCTAGATGTTGCAGTAAAGGTATTTTTTAGATGTGATCAACATTTACAATTAGTTGACTTTAAGTAAAGAAATTTATCCTCCATAATGTGGATGGGCCTCAACCAATCAGTTGAAGGCCTTAAGGGCAAAGAAAAGTTTCCCAAAGAAGGAATTCTGTCTCCAGACTGCAACCCAGAAATTCTTCCTGAGTTTCTAGCCTTCGGACTCAAGACTGGAGCAGCAATCCTTACCTGACAACATAGACTTGAAATATATATCTCTCCCATTGGCACTGGCTCTTCTATGTTTATCTCCTGCTGGCATTGGCCTTGTTTCTCTGGAGGACTCTGACTAATACATTCTACACCTTGAATGGCCCCTCTCTTTCACGTGTCCAGTCCAGCTCACCCTTCAAGGTCTGGCTCAACTGCATCTCCTCCAGGAAGCTTTGTGAATAACCATAGCCTGTTCTACCCTGAGGGACTTAATGCTGCTTTGAGATCTCTCCTAATGTGAAATCTACCCACCACGGCTATTCGCTCAGCGAGGGGAGCAGAGGTCTTGTTTCCTGTGATCTCACTGGCACTTAGTGCCAGATACATAGCAGGTGCTCATCAGTGTTTAATTCTTTTTTTTTTTTTTTTTTGAGTTGGAGTCTCACTCTGTCGCCCAGACGGGAGTGCAGG